CAGCTGGTGTATGAAAAGGGGCCCGGGGGCGGGCCGTTTCCTCTTCAACCTGGAGAAGAAGAAAGCTTTGTCTTCGTACCAGGATTACCAAAGTAAGTGACAGAGAGGCATGGGAAACCGCCGGCCAGGAGGTTAAGGCTTCAACGGCCTTACATTTGGCCATTAAGATGGAGAATGAAAAGTATACTGCTGCTGCAGCGCAAAAACGGCGCATTTCTGTGCCGGTCATGAAAGAGGAGCCAGAGTTGGAGGAGCAGCGTGCAGCTGCGATGCCGGAAAGCGCGGCCGTCAGCCTGAAGCTCCTGGGGAGGAGCCGGCTGCGGGTGGCGATCTCGGCCGCAGCATGAACAGCAGTCCGGACTGCTAGTAACTTTATGCCAACAACCAATCGGAATGGCCCTAAACCCTAAGCCCTAAGCCCTTAAGCCCTAAACCCTTGGAGTTTCTTGGGTCCTGGCCTCCCAGTCCTTCGACCGGCGCTCGTCCGCCTGCCCAAACCTGACGGGCGGAACCATGTGGGTTTAGGGTTTAGGGTTTAGGGTCTAGGGCTTAGGGTCTAGGATTTAGGGTTTAGGGTTTAGGGTTTAGTTCTCTAATTTAGAGTCCCTTTTTGGGGCTCCTTAAAGGGATCTATAAGGGTTTCCATAAGGGTACTCGATGGGTAGTTCTCCGAATTAGAGCCCCTTTTAGGGATTTTTGAAGGGATTTATACAGGTTTTTATGTGGTTTCTATACAGTTCTATTAGGGTACTATATGGCTAGTTCTCTGAATTAGTGTGCCTTTCAGGGTTCCGTAAAGGGATATATAAGGGTTTCTATAGGGTTTCTGTAAAAGGCACTCTGTGGGCAATTTACTCTGTGGGCATATCTCTAAATTAGAGTCCACATGTAGTGCGGCACCCGTATAAAAGTACCCTAAAAGGGACCCTAGTTTAGAGAATTGCCCGTGTAGAGTCGTGTTCTTTCTGGTCCGAGTTGCCCTAAACCGAAAACCCCTAAACCCAAAACCCTGAACCCAAAACCCTAAACCCCAAACCCTCAGCCTAAGCCCTGGTTCAGGGCTCTGGGCTCAACGTTTCGAATTCATGTCGTGGCAGGTTCGACGGCTTCAGAAATCCGAGGTGCCCGAAACCGTCTGCTCCTACCTCTACACCCATCAACTTTCACATCTTCGTCCATCGACGACTCCTTGACTGATCCACAAAGGCCTGGATCCCATACCCCAAGCCCTAAACCCCGGCACCACTACCACAACCGGCCCTTTTTGACCACTCACCCCGAAACCCTAAACCCCCTTAAAGCGCCAAACCCCAGAAATCACCAGAAATCCCTTCATAAGGGCCTAAACCCCCAGGTGTCTGAGCTTCCGGCTGCTTCTCCAACCGCTCGAGCCGATCTTGGATGCTTCCGTGCAGCTTTTCCATCCTGGCAACAGGGCTTCGGGGTGAGGGCTTTTGGAGGGTTTTGGCTTTAGAGCTTTCGGGCTTTGGAGGGTTTCGGGGTTGGGGTTTAGGCTTTAGGGTTTAGGGTTCAGGGCTTTAGAGGGTTTCGGGGTTAGGGTTTAGGGCTTTTCGGTTTAGGGTTTAGGGCTTCAGGAGGGCCGGAGGGCTTAGGATTGAGTGGGTTTAGGGTTTAGGGTTTAGGGTTTAGGGTTTAGGGTTTAGGGTTTAGGATTTACAGGCAACTTCGGGCGTAGGGGTCATTGTGTGCGAGCATGGCCGCTGCGGAGGTTTCTTTCGCACAAGAATGGCTGCTCTGTGCGACAGCAGTTAGGGTAGGGCATTCCCGTTTTGGGGCGATGGCGCCATCCCATCCTCAACCTAAGAATGCAATATCTGAAACATCCTATTCACACTCTAGAACCCCAATTCCCGTATCTACCTAGGTGCCATAGCCCAAAACGGGAATGGCGGGGGTCTTATAGAATCTAGGGTTTAGGTTAGGAGTTAAGCATTGTAAACCCTGAGGTTCTACGGTATGCCCCAGAAATTTTCCCAGCTACCCCGACCTTCTACTGAATCAATCCTATATGGCACGTGCAAAACCAATCACAACTCCAAGTTACTACTCGTAGAACAACTTACAACTCAAGTTGTGAACACCCCGACAACTTAAAAGAATGCTGTCAAATGCTACACTTTTAAGAGTTCAGGTCGTAAATATGTCCGATCCACCCCTTCCACAAATAGTAGCTCTGTCCCAACTTCCTGTCAACTCTTTCCACAGTAAACACATTCTTGTTGAAAATGCCTACCTGCTCTTTTTCATTCGGCCTCTTATTCCTGAAAATTCTCACTTGGCTGAAACTTTAAATCTCGCGATAAACCCGATTCCGTTTGGCTCATATTCAAACTTGATCTAACGTTTGATTCGTTACTTGGCTTTCTGGCATCTTTTGGGGTGAAGCCAGGTGCGGAATGCTTCTTATGTAAGCATTCAATCATCCCACCGGCTAAATCTTCTTCGTCTTACCCTTAACCGCCACGACATGCAAAAACTTATCCAAGATGTCAATCATGTGTATGCATCTGACCATGCTCTGTGTATGCTGCCGTATCTACCTTTGCATCTGAGTATGTATATGTATGAAAATCTCCGTCCGATGGCCTCGATGACATCTGCTCCTGAAAACTGCCATGAAGGCGTTCCATATTGGCGTGGGCCGCTTGCACCCCCTTGGCGTCCGAACGAAGTCGAGGATTTCAAACGAAGTCAAGGATTTCAATAGCACTGAACCCATACCCTGAACCCTACTTGGCCACGAAGCAAGCAAACCCTCAACCCTGAATGCAAGCCACTGCACTTGGGGAGGCTACACGGCTGGCTGCGGGATTCCGAAGGGCTTCATGATTCATGTCGTTGTTTGCTTTGATTAGAGGTGAGCGGGAGGGAGCGGGGCGAGTCAAAGCGCCAGCAATAGTTCAGCACTTTTTGGGACTTTGAGTGCCCAAGTATGTCGATACTCCTTGGTGCGCGACCTCGGCGTGCTTCTGCGAAGACTCTCCCAGCAACTTCTCCAGGAAATCCACGCGATCGCGTAGTGAATCCTGGTTGGCCTGGGAAAAGAATCTGGCTTTGACGCCAAGGGTTCGGGTCCAGAGATAAAAGTCTCCAAGAGCGGCAAGGAAGCACTGGCAAGACTAAAGGACCCCGGCAAAGGAACCCTCAGAGGTTACGGTTCCTTCCGCAACTCCTTCGAGGGTACTTCCTTTAAACGAGCCCGAAACCCTACACCCTAAACCCCACACCCTAAACCCTAAACCCCACACCCTTACTAAAACCCTAAACCCTACCCTACACCCGAAACCCTGAACCCTCAATCCTGAACCCTACATCCTAAACCCTGAACCCTAAACCCCGGCTGGGCCTGCGATTCGCATGCCGTAAGGCGGCTGTGCCTAGGCACAGGGCATCACAGCTCCCAGCCGCGACTTGACGACACGAGACTTGGTGACAAATGTCGCCCTAAAGTCGCCATAGAGAGTGTTACGGTGTAAGACAAAGCTACTCTAGACATGCATACATGCATACATACATACCTACATATATATATATATATATATATATATACATTAATATATATATATATATACATAGATATAGATTGGCACTGTATATCAGATTGTATAAATATGTTGCATCCCGGAAACCCCATGTGAATTATTCAGGCCCGAACAAGCTCTCCAATCGGGAATGCGACGTCTGGATCTCTTTGGAATGCTTGTCAAAGGAGTCACCCACCTGCGCTGGGGTTTTGCCGGTGGTGGTGGTTTAGGGTTAGGGTTAGAGGATTTAAGGTTTAGGGTTGAGGATCTAGGGTTTACGGGTTTAGGGTTCAGGGTTCAAGGTTAACACACACGGAGGAGAAAGGAGACAGGCAACTGCTACTAACCACATTGCTCCAGCTCCCAATCACTCAGGAACCGGCCAGTTGCTCAATGTAGCCAAGCCGATCTGCCACGGAGGCATGATGCGCCTGCCCCCGCTATGAGGCTTCTATCGGGGCTCCAAAACAACGGATCTTTTAGAGGGGGTGTCTACAAAGGTCTACGTACAGCACAGCTGGAAGTGCCTCTCGAGCTTTCGCTTCTCCAGCCAGCTTTGCATGAGCCGTCTTTGCCTCAAACTCACAAGCGCAGTTGTAATGCCGACTTGGGAACGGATCCCACACCTCCAAACTAAGTCACGCACTGACTCGATCTCCTGGGCGTGACAGCAGATCAAGGCATTACTCTACAAGCACGTCTTGGTGACCGCATCTCACCCCTTCCTTCCACATCCATCGACGCCCCCCGCCGCATGAACCCCGATTCCCGCAAACCCTAATCCCCAATCCCTAAACCCTTGCCCAGGCCCTCAAGACGTCTGAAGCCCTAGACCCCTGCACCCCTGATCCCGGCCCAACATCTCCTGCGCATGCCGATCGACGGACTCGCCGAGCAACCTCTCCAGAAAGTCGACACCTGGAAGAGAGCGAAGCTCATGGGGTTACCGAAAATAGGGGACCCTAATATAGTACCCCTACTAGTAGGATCCTTATTAAAAGGACCCCAAAATAAGGCACCCCTAATTTTCGGAAACTCCCACATGAGAGGGTGTTACGGTTCAGGGTTCTTCAGAGCTTGGGTGTAGGGCACTTCGATGTTTTGTGTTTTTGAACTCCTTTTTCCACCTGCATTAGGCTCCTGTCCGCACATGGTATCCCCTTCAATCTTTAGGGGCCTGGGCGTTGGATTTAGGATTACGGAGGCGACAGCGTTTTCGGGGATCCCAAAGCAGAGGTTCGAGTGTGTGGGAGGTACCATGAACCCCGACACAAATAACACCCTCTCCCCGCCCCAAGGCTTCGGTGGAAGGACGGAAGCCATGACTTGGAGAGAAAGTCGCCGGAAGCCTCCCTATGTACGTATGTGCGTATGTATGTAACCGTATGGGCGGAAACAGGATTTGGGGGGTGCAGTTCTACTTCCATTACGATAAGGAACCCTATGCTGAGAATCCTTCCGGACCCTATACCCTAAACCCCTAAACCCCCTAAACCCCCTAAACCCCCTAAACCCCTAAACTCCCTAACTCCCTAAACCCCTAAACCCTAAACCCTAAACCCCTAAACCCTAAACCCTGCACGCCAGAACCTCCGATCCAAGGACTCCGCTGCAAACCCTGGGGATCCCCGCGCTTCTGAAGGGACAGGGTGAGCTGCTCCTGGGATAGCAGCTTTGCCTCGAAGGGTGCTTAAGAGAAGGGTTTAGGGTTTAGGGTTTAGGGTTTAGGGTTTAGGGTTTAGGGTTTAGGGTCGGGTCCCTTAACCCTAAACCCGTACAGCAGCACTACACCCTTAACGCCCAAACCCCATAAACCCTTAGAGCCCCTGCGAACCCTCAGCCCTTTAGCCCGGCGAGGTTCGTGAAGCTCATGGACGAGCAGAGGGTCTGAGACTGGGTTTAGGGCTTAGGGTTCGTGAGGCTCAAGGGGGCGGCGAGCCCTGGTGGCGACGAAGGGACGGAGGAACGAAGCCCGCCTTCTGCTCTTTGAAATCATTTTGCAGCGGGGAATGTGGCGCCAGGGAGCCACTCAATCCCTCCTTCAGGGCGGTCACCTGTTTGGGCGGGTTTTCCAATGCTTCTCAGACTTCGGGAGTTTGGAGTCTACATCGACCCAGCCTCCCCCTGTAGAACAGAGAGGTCTCGAATGAACATGGCTGTCTGCTCGCGGATCAACCGCAACTGCGACTGGTGCAGTTCCATCTCCTGCACAGCATGCTGACAACACTCAGGTAGAGTGTTTAGGTTGTTCTTGGAGATGGGAAGCTTTGGGGGGGTGATGGTGACGGTGATGATTGTGGCTATTACGACGGCACGATGATGATGATGATGATGATGATGCTGATGATGATGATGCTGATGATGATGATGATTATGATGTGTAAGTGTTCTGTGTAGAACACAGGGAATATCAGAATGTAGCACACTGCAAAAATTGCAGGTGCTCTTTGGAGGCAGCGTCAAACATTAGTCGAGTGAGGGAAATGGAAGCCAGTAGCAGCGGACGCCAGCACATTTATTTAAGTACTGCTGTTAGTGGCTTCCGGCGGCATCGCTGCTGGTTGCGATGTAAACTAATCACACACTTGCTCCTTGCACTAGTCGATACTCGTCGCTTTGCACAGCGATCAACGTCCTCCTTGCCAATCACTCCCTACCGTCTGGTACACTGATTTCCTAATCCTAAACCCTAAACCCTAAACCCTAAACCCTAATCCCAATCCCGCGGCCTTCTGGTCCAGGGTTTCGATTTCCCGCTCCCAATCGTCTTGACGGCGACTCATGTCATCCGTCTCAAGGCGGCCTAAGGAGGAGAAGAAGTATCCAAAAACTTAGGCGCAAAAATGAATAGTTCTCGAAATATAGGATCCCTTTTTAGGTCCCCACTATAGTACGAAACTCTTAATAAAAAGGACCCCCCAACAGGGACCCTAATTCAGAGAACTACCCATAGGGGACCCTAATATAGTACCCTAAAGAATAGGATCCTTATTATAAGGACCCCAAAATAAGGTACCCGAATTTAGAGAACTACCCATAGGGGACCCTAATATAGTACCCTAAAGAATAGGATCCTTATTACAAGGACCCCAAAATACGGTACCCTAATTTAGAGAACTACCCATAGGGGACCCTAATATAGTACCCTAAATAGTAGGATCCTTATTATAAGGACCCCAAAATACGGTACCCTAATTTAGAGAACTACCCAAAGGCTCACTGGGCCTTATAGTACCCTAAAGAATAGGATCCTTATTATAAGGATCCCAAAAAAAGGGACCCTAATCTAGAGAACTACCCACATTGCGCACTCAGCCATGCCTTGGCCCAGGCGCTTTGGGCTTCCACCGTATGCCTCGGGACGCGAACGGAGATGCGCGGTCACCGCGACGTCTTTCAGGTCTTGGGATTTTAGGGCTTTAGGCTTTAGGGTTTAGGGTTTAGGGTTTAGGGTTTTAGGTTTTAGGGCTTTAGGGACAAGCCCAACCCCAAACCCGAAGCCCTGAACTCAGGATGCAGGGGCTATCCGAAGCCCGTTGATGCAGGCAGGGTGCGGTTTGCATCGGGGGGGACAACATCTGCGGGCCCCCAGGCCCGGGCAGAGCCCTTTGAGCCAATTAGGGCCGCAGGCAGTTGGGACTGCAGGTAATGACATGGTCCGAAACTTCACGTTGGTACTGTGTAACATTGCTATTCTGCGTCCGACACCATGTTTCTTTTTCATGAGTGGCGAATTGAGAGGGTCGATGCATGTCTCCTCCCTGAGATCTCTCAGTAGACTTCACCACGGTGTTAAAGTCCTCAGAACTTGAAATTCACATTCGCCCTCGATGTTCGCTGGGATGTTTTGCCACGGCAAGATCATTCTTTGAGCCAGTTGGCGTGGCTTCACTCCGAAATAAGGCTTCACGAGATTTGCACGGAAGTACCTTACTGCCCAGCTTCCTCGAAAGAAAGTCTCGAGGACTCTAGTTTCTCTATAGTACTCTAATAATTAGCTAGTACCCCCAAGGCCCCTCAACCCCAAACCCTAAACCGAGAAGATCAAAAGGCGACTCCCTTCTTACAGGGCACTCCCCGGCCCCCGAGTCCTCCAACCCCCGCTGGAAGAGCACGACCTCGCCGCTCTCTGGAGAGGTCTCCCCCTTCACCGCGCTGAGAAGATTCGAGGCGAACTCGGCGATGTCGTGAAAGCTCTGGGAGGTCAGGGGCTCGAGGCTTTTGTAGAACTCCGCGACGGTCTGCGAATCGGCCGAGGTGGTCATGTTCAGCTTCGTCGGGCTGTCGTCCGTGATGAAGGAGAAGTAGTTGCGGCACAATGGACGCTGAATCGAAAAGTCGGCCCCAAGCCGGAAGAGGTCTACCAAGCTCCACTCCGTGAAAGAGTGGCAGACACTGTCTCCCATGTACGATTTCCGTGTCACCACATCCGTGGAATCCCATAGATTGAAGAGGTTGTAGCCCGGATGCCTTTTCCCCCACAAGACCACCTCCCTGAACCACTGGTTCAAGATCTTTCCTTTGGCGGTGCCTACGGTCGTCCTATTTGCACCTTGCAGCCACTCCCCTTTCTCTGCGGCCAGGCGCCAGCCCACTACCGCCTGGTTCTCCCAAGTCGGGACGCCGCCATCCGAGATCGAAGCTGGGAGGATTGCTTTGGGACCAAAGTCTCGAGCGAAGTACTCGAAGAGCAGTGCGGAGGCCTGGGTTTGCTCGGCAGATAAGACCTGCAACGCCTCGGTGATGACTAAGGCAGAGTGGGTGAAGGAGAGGAGCGTGGACAAGGACTTGAGGCCGTTGCTGGTGATTGGATGACTGGCATACTCCACCCTGTACACTGCCTCGTCAATGAGGGTCGGCATCTCTCTGATGCTTCGGGCGGAACAAGCAGTCTCATCTGGGAGCCAAGGTTTCACGCAACTCCCCAACAAGCGCTGCAGACTGTCGCTGTCTTGAACGCGAATGCCCTGGCTGGTAAGGCTGGACAGAGCCAGCCAATAGAACCGCATCGTGAATGAAAAGTGATGTGTTTGGCAGATGCCGGGACGGTTGAGGCTCCCGTGATTTGGGCCACATGTGCCTGCAGCCATCACGCTTGCAACATGAGATAGACCATCCCTCAGTCTCAGGATGTAATCTGACTCACGACCACTCAGGGGACGAAGAGACAACGAGGAAGCTGCAACAAAAGCAACAGAAACATCTTAGATGTTCATGTGATCACAACCGAAGTCCCAGGCTAAGAGCCTTCTGTTTGGCTTCCTTGGACGGGTCGTCTCAAGCTCTCAGCCTTTTCGGATTCAGAGCAGGAGCAGCATCATGGTACTGGTGGCACAAGAGCTGCTCCTAGTGTCCTCAGTCCAGCTGGGCTGCGCGCAGTTTTTAATCCTGTAATGGCACAGCTGCCGCGGCAAGTAAAATCGAAGCACCTGCCGGTGCAAAAGAAAGCCTTGGTTACGGGAGGATGAAGGTAAAAGGGAGCGTAGAGGCAGCTTGTCGGCCTCATCCTCCCACTGAATTTCGGTGCTGGATGAATCGAAACCGCCACATCCAGTGACAGGCTGTCTAGTTCGTCATGTTGAGGCAGGAGAAGCCACTGACAGCCGGGTTCACAGCTTCAATCATCACCTTGACTTGGTTCAAGGCTGTGCTCACATCCCTGGACCTAAAGTCCTAGACTTCATACCCCCTTCATTTAGGGTTTAGGGTTTAGGGTTTCCTTCATGCATTCACCTTCAACCCCAAAGTGGAGACTTTTGGGCTTGGACTTAGGGTTCGGCCTGCCAGAGCTCACAGCGCCCAGGTGACCACTCAATGCCCGTGCAACGACTGTTCAATTCCCAGCGAGCAGTGGCTGAGCACATGGCCTTGCACTCCTCAATGTCGCGAAAGCCTAGGGGGCACTGGATGGACCCTGATGAGGGACCGTAGGGTTTCGAGATGAGGCATCTAGGGATCAGGACGACACCATCACCTCGTTACATTAGGGCTTGACTTCCGCGGTTCAATTCTGTGCTTGACCGCTTTTCGGCTTTGCAGCGATCCCAAACTCCCACAAATGCATCATGTCAGCTGCATGTCAGAGTAGATGGCGGCCCCTGTAGGCTCTGCTGCATACTTGGGATCAAGGCCATGTTGCATGTTGCATGGTGTACATGAACCGGTCTGCCCTTCATCTATAATGCAGGCACTACACAAGAGCTATCTTCCATAATCTGCGCAACGCTACAAGCAAACAGACGCTGGGGTTGAGGGAGAGAGAGAGAGAGAGAGAGAGAGGGAGAGAGAGAGAGAGAGCGTGGAGTGGGGTTCACGGAACCACCACCCGAATGAAGACATACAGCACATGGCATGTATACGACCTAATCGTGCTTTGTACGGAGCAGTCCAGCATTTGCAAGGCAAGATACTCAAAGCGTTGCTCTTGCGAGCTAAGTAATAATTCTCTCCCGCGTTATCGTTCAGCGATCGGCCACGGCAGGGATGCGAAGCATTGCCTTGCATGTCTATGGGTTTCAGCTTGCTGACAGGCCATCCATAGCGCATGCACGTGAACTCGCCATTCTCCGCAGGGATCCTTGTCTCACACCCCTATGACCCAAAACCCTAAACCCTAAACCCTAATATCCCTAAACCCTAAACCCCTAAATCAAAGCCCTAAACCCTAAACCCCTAAACCCCAAAACCCTAAACCCTAAACCCCTAAACGGGATCAGCAGCGGCAAACAGGAAAGCACAGCCCGAAACAAACAGTGGCTGTCGGTGCCACTGCTGCATTGAGAAGGGCGCTGCACTTTGTGCGCTTTTCTAGCATTCCGGCTTTTATTCGTAATCGAAGTAGCAGTAGGATCAGCTAGTCACAATGATATTAGTAAGAACATGCATAAACAGAATTTGAAAAAACATAGTAGAAGTCGTCGCCGTAGCAGTAGTAAGAGCAGCAGATGCAGCAGCAGCAGCAGCAGCAGCAGCAGCAGCAGCAGCAGCAGCAGCAGCGGTGAAGGTCGAGGAGGACGGCAAGGAAGCGCAAGAGCAAAAGTGGGAGCAGGAACAGGGCGACTACTGGCAGTGCTTGGAATGCGAACAAGCTCATTAATGCTTGTCCTGTCCGTCGGACTGCCGAGAATCTCCTGGATGGCATACAGCCCCCTGCTAGTGCTTGGGGTCGTTGTCCGAGCTGTTATCTCCACGGCAAGCATGGTTTCCGGGACCTCCGACCTCCTCCCACACCCGGTGGTCCACCTCACTTTCGTTCCAGCGGCTGGGACCCGTCATCACGTTCACCGCGCCGTTCTGAACGATGTGGTAGCCTGGTAAGGCCTCTTCTGTGCATTGCCCGGGTGGCACTGTGACGCAGTTGCAGCTGAAACTCCCACAGCCGCTTGCATTGGCACCCTTGTGTATAGGCAGTTGCCTGCATTTGGCACACATTCCCCATGCTTGAACCTGCAATCGTCCGGGTCGCATCCCTGATGTGTGCACACTGGGTTATTCGAAGCCTGCTCCTTGAAATCCTGCAGGGTGCTTTGGGCCGAAGCCTCTTGCAAAAGGCCGTCGATTTCAACTCCCTCGCACACCCAAAACCAATAGAAGTCGCTCTGCGTCTTGCGGCGGAGGGCCTTGTGCAAGAAGCTCCTTGCACTAAAATGGGAGCAGAGGCAAACAGATCCCAAGCAGAAGAGCTAGCTATCCGCCCTTCCGCACTTCAGCTTCAAGCTTGTCAGACGGTTTAGGGTTTAGGATTTAGGGTTTTAGGGTTTTAGGGTTTAGGGTTTAGGGGCTTCCGCAAACCTGGCAGTTTGCGAAGCTACTGGACTGGATGCCAGTACAACTGCCGCGAAAAGAAACACACAAGCAAGGAAAGGCATCAACAGGTTCATCCGCTTCGGTAGGAACAAGCTACCCAACTTCAACTGCCTTCATATCATGTCAAGCCCCTGCCCAAGCTCCTCTTCGAAAGCAAAGACAAGCCTTTTGGACACTGCGAGGGCGCGCTGCGGAGGGCTTCGTCCTCGGTCTGAGATTTGGAAGCTGAGCTTTCGGGCCTTCTGAAGGGCCGCTTCCAGGTGCGGTTTAGGGTTTAGCATACAGAGGACTTAGGCGACATCCCAAGCAAGTTTTAGCTGCCAGATGTCCAAGCCAGCAGCAGCAAAACGAATGCAGGAATCATGGCTTCCGCTGAGTTTGGAAGGAGGTCCCTCTTGAGCCAACGAGTGGGCGTTGCGGCCGACCGGTATGGAAAATGTTGGAAACTGACGGAGAACACAAATCGTGGGACCGTGGAGAGGAGAATCTTAGGATCTCATGACGTTCGGACAGGGTGTAAGGACCTCCTCAAACTTCAATACAGCCTACTAAAAGCACCTTTTTTGAAGTTGCAGAGTTGGGCGAAGCAGGGAGATGCAGCTCAAGTTGGTATTGGGAACAGCTTCGAAGGACAGCCTCCAAAGCCGTGACCCGGAGTTTGGTACTAGCCTACTCGCGCTGTTGAAGCTGCTTCGTACCACCGAATCTGCGAGTTGATGGCAGAGCTTATGACAGGATGTCGAGTCAAATCCTAACATCACAGAATCAGCATGCTTCGGCAGTTGAGACTTTTCGGCCCTCGCAATCTGCAGATGCAAAAGGCGTGATGCTTTGCCACGGATCTGCTGCCAGCACAGGAGGGAGAATCTGATCTAGCGACCGTAAATCTCGGACCCTATTCCTGCCTTCGTCAATGCCGTGATAGCGATTGTCCACTTCAGCGTGAGGCCGAGCAGCTGGTCCTGGCGTCTGGTCGTTTTGTCGCATGAGCTCTGGTCGCGATCTTTGCAGCGATTGTCTGATGCTGTCCAGAAGGCGAGAGCAGATGATCCCTCTTAGGGACCGCGAGCTCGTCAGGTGGGAGAGGGAGATAGAGAGACTCCAATAATACAGGTGTCTCACTCTGTGCCACTGTCAGAAGGACTGAACTCAGCAGACTCATCCATCTCATCCTCCTCCTCGAAAGTGCGGCGACGGTGCCTGAAACAAAGAGCTCCGAAGGCCACTGTGGCAGCGTTCGCCAACAAGCAGCCCGTCAGAAGTCGCAGCTTGGCCACCGCCTCCCCTTCAAACTCCTGCCAGAAAAGGGTCCAGAAACACAGAGCAGAGAGGCAGCTCACGAGCTTTAGGCCATCCGTGAAAAGGGGCCCGGCTCCCTCGGCAAAGAGGCAGAAGAGGAGAGCGCAAGCAGCCAGGAAGCAGAGCCCATGCTCAGCCTCGTCGCTCGGTGGGAAGAGCTGGCCACGAAGGGCCACGCAAGCCGCGACCAGAGGCCCGAAGATCAGAACCTGAAGGCTCCGGCCCCACTTCTCCTGGGTTCTTGTTAAGGGATTTAATTTAAGTTACCATAATAGGGATCTATAGTAAATAATATGGTTTCCTTATTATGGTAACTTAAATTAAATCCCTTAACAAGAGCCCAGTCTCGTAGGCGTCCATTCCCCGTTTCCGCCGCACCCTCTCGTAGTAGCCGGCCTCTTCTCCCAGCTCCAGGAGACTCTCGGCCTTGAGGCCGTTGGGAATGCTCAAGACCACTGAGCTGAGGACGTTGAAGCTTAGAGAGAAGAGGTCCAGAGAAGTCAGGGTAGGCGTATACATCAGGGCGCAGATCGCCACCAGAGCGGAGACCGTACCCTCCCAGTATCCCTCTCGGGCCTGGTGCTTCAGAAGATCCATGGTGGCAAAGCCCCGTCGCAGCGAATTGATCATCTCCTCTCCGTGCCTCCGTTGCTTGGGCTTTTCGGCTTTAGGATCTCTAATGACAGGGTTGAGAGGGCCCCTTAGGCATTATGAAGGGCTTAGGAATCGGAAGGATTGAAAGGCGTAAGGCCAAGGAACTGAGTCTGAAAGATGTCGGCCAAGTTTGGCAGCAAGGCGGCGAGGAGCAGCGCAGACCCGTAGTAGGGCTGGCCCTTTGCATAGAGGCTGAGTGCCGAGTAGATGTCCATCGCCGGATCAAGGCTGGCCACAGCCAGGGCAAGCTTCATACTCCAGCGCTCGGCTTGCAAGTCGTTCTGGCTCAGACTTTTGCAGAGCATCTCCAAAAGATCGGGGAAGTCGGGAGCATGGTAGGGTCCGTCTGGGCAGAAGCCTGTGGCCGTCGGCCCGGAGCAAGCGACCTCCTCCCAGTCTGCGAGTTGCCTCTTGCCGTCGCTCCCAGAGGCTGCCTTGTAGCCGTTCTTAGCTCCCAGAAAACCCTGCCAGGCCGTGAGGAGCCGGTACCAGCCGATGCAGCCGTAGGCGAAGGCCACGAGGGACGGCAACAGCCAGCCAGGTCCACCAACCTGAACGGCTTGCCAGATTTCGGCCTTCAGGCAATAGCCTGGTAGAAAAGGAAACATCGGTAGGAAGCAGTCAGCCACACGACACCATGCGAAGCATGCAGGCCCGGTTTCTTCGGTGACGACATCACTTCGGGAGATGTTCTCGCACTCCAAAATACTTTGGTTGGCAAAGTGCCTCGCACAGAGCTCGGTCTCCGTGGCGCCGGTGTGTCGCCGCAACTGCTCCTAACTTTGTCCAGTTTCAGTTTCGTCGGGGAGCTCAAGGTAACCTTTGGGCCTTTGGATTTCTATACGATTTATGGTATCCTCCACAAAACCTAGACCAAATCCTTCCAACTCCACGAAGGCTCCAAGAGGAAATCCAAGTCCCCGGAGCACAGAACTGACCAAGTGAGTCCAGGAGCTGCTCCGCAGAGTGCTGCCAAGGTTACCTGGGCTGTAGCTTTGGGGCCCATAAACTTTAAACGCGTTTATGAAGCGATACCTCTGTAGGAACCATAGGGGAAAATTCTGAAAAATGCCGCCTAGCCACGAAAAGTAGGAGAAGCGCAGCACTCAAAGCACCAAGCGCCCGCGGAACTCGCAAGAACGAGGGCTCTGCAGGGTTTCCGCGAACAAGACACACCTGGAGAAAGACGTAGAAGAAGTAAGGTGGTACCAAGACCTTGGCTGGCAAATGCTTCTGACACTGTTGCTCAAACCAATATCCTGCATGCCAGCGCGGACCAAGTTGCCACAAATGTGACGTTTGCTGCTTGCAGCGCTACAGCCAGGCTGTTTGTCCAGGGCGTGGGCAGGTAAAGGATCATAGCCCACAGCACCGGTTGCAGGGTGGCCCCTGCCAGCAGTGCGCCATAGGCACACAACAGCCTGCCGAAGTCCCTTCTGTTCGACGCGTCTTGCCCAGAGCAGAAGCGGAGGCCAGTTGCAAGGGTAACTCCCAGGGAGCCTGGTAGCAGCACCAGAAGCACAGCTGCATGGAGGGCATCCGCTTTCTCGATCGGGGGATAGAAATCACCAGGGACACCCGGAGGCCCGCGCAGGATCGACATGAGCTGCGCTGCACCCTGCTCCGTGGCTTGAGCCCCAACAGCAGCAAGGAGAGAACGTGGAAGAACCTGACCTGTGTGTTGCGGTCTTTTTGATAGTGGTGTGGGACTGCAAAGTAACTCACCTTCAGCAAGACAACACGAAGGAAAAGAACGCAAAAAAAAAGTTCAGGGAGAACGCGCTCTTTTGAATCCCCCAAACATTCGAGTTCCAAGTCGGCAACGATTTGGGCTTCGGGTTCTTGGGGTTTCAGGTAAAAGTTCAATGCCTCAGACTCTGGGAGCTTCGACAGAAACATCTCCCAACGAGGCCATGCCAGCCCCTTATGACTATTCCCCGACATTTTTCGACTGCTCAAGCAAGAATAACACTCTGCAACATCACGTGGCTTTCTCAAGCGGAGCTTGGAGGACACCTTGAACAGTTTTTGTGTCACCTGTCGCCCTCTGGTCCATGGTGTGCTTCGCACGGGGGGAACCGCGGACGTGAAACTGTGCCAGAAACCCGGCACCAAGCTGCATCAACTCAAGTGGCCTCCTTCAAAACGCCTCCACCCCCTTTGTTCTGCTACTTTGTGCTGAAAAACCCCTCCCAAATTTTTCCGAATCAAGGAAACCACTCAACCAGGGAGACTTCCTGGCGCAACTTCAAGTTCTACACCCGGAGCCTCCCCCCTCCCCCCTTCTTCTCAGCCCCCTCTGTTTAAGTAGTACTTTCCATGATAACAGTATGGATCTCTTGGGGGAGGGATTTACTTGGGATGCTCGGGACTGGCAAAAGAATTAAAACATCAGCTGCCTCGGAACCGAATTTCTCCCTGGTACTGTGCTGCAAGACATGCAGGGGAGGCTTGAGAGACCCGTGCACTCCTAGAGGAGACGATCCCCAAACCCCCAACTGAATGCGCCACCAGGAAAAAGGGTACTCATGCTGCTCCCGGAGGGGTCGCAGGGTCCGCGGCGGGCGGTTTGCGCATGCAAGAGAACCCCCACACCTCTGGCTTGCAAACTTGGAAGCCCGTCAGCCCGAAGACTGTGATGAGGTCGAGGACAGCAAAGATCAACAGACTCGGTTCAGGCTTCAGAAATATAACAAATACAAAATCAAATCAATATACAAAATATACACATATATATAATCGCCGAAGTGGAACTTGGCCTTCAAGCACCGAGCCCTGAAGCCCTGACAGCCCTCATCCTCGGCGCGGTTAGGCAAAGCCATACCAGGACCAGGAGAAAACAAGACACTCTCAGATCCTGCACCCTCCCTGCCAGCAAAGGACTCCCTACCTGAAGCCCAGCTATTGCTATTACTATTATATTTGGTATTGCTATTATTGCTCTTGCTGTCGCTATTGCTTTTCCTCTTGCTCTTACTCTGACTCTTACTCTTGATATGATATTACTGTTCCTATTGGCGTTCCTTCGACTGTTTCAAGATCCCCATTATCGCCTCTGAGCTCTAGCACTACTACCATTGCTGTGACCATTGCTGGTAATTACTATTGCTCCCCACAAAACCCTAAACCCTGAACCCTAAACCCTAAACCCTAAACCCTAAAACCCTAAACCCAAAACCCTATTGTAAAGCCCACAGAGGCACGACTGCCCTGCAGGGCTCATCCAGCAGCGCTCGTAGCAATCCACATGCCCTGTGAATCCGCAGCCGGGCTCGGAGGAGCCCACAACGGCGCTGCCGGCACCGCCTCAAGTTCGAGTATGCAAATATACTATGATGTAACATACTACAATGGACAGAAAAATATACTATCGTATACTATCATATTTACAAAATACTATGATACACTGTGATTCATAACTAAAAGCATATACGCTTAAAAAAAAAAAGGTGACATACTACAAGATACTACGAAGAGCTCTAGGGTTTGGGGGCGTTGATAAGGGCTCTGCAGGAGTTTAGAATAAGAAGAGTCTGGATACCGTGGCTTTTAGGTTTTCCACGGGTTCTTTTAAGGGATTTTACAACGGGACTCTATGGGGGTTCGATGAGAGGATGTTGGAAGATTTTCGGAATTTCGGGGCATGGGTTTAGGATTTTGGGGCTTGGAGCTTGGGTTCACTCAGGGAGACTCGGTTGATTTGAGGGCTTCAGGGTTGAGGGTTTTGAGATTTTGAGTTCAGAGCCCAAACCGGTTTCGGACATTGGTGACTGGCTGTTGCAAAGCCCCTGCGTCCGCAGGCCCAGGGTTTGTGCACTTGGGTAGTTCTCCAAATTAGTGTCCTTTTTGAGGTCCCCAGTTTAGTACGGCACCCTTATAAAACGGGACCCTAAAAGGGACCCTAATTTTAAAGAAACCACCCACTTCGGTGTAGGAGTTCTGGGTTGGGGCTGGGCTTTTGGAGCCCTCTCCCGGCTGGAAAGCTCGTGAAGGGATGAATTGGAACTCGATCTCCTGTATACCATCATAAACCGCCATAAACTGTCATATACTATCATATAGTGTCTTATGCAATCATATATCATATACTATCATATACTATCATA